GCATGTTGAAGGATCACTACTTCCAGCAGCCGGCCCTGTACCCAGGGGTTTTGCACATCGTCATCTCCGACACCAAAACGGACCCCAGAATGGAGGACTTGCGAAGCATCTCCCCGGAGGAGCTGAGGGCTGCGCTCTGGCGGCGCATCGCTGAGAGGGTCGAGGCGGGAGCATGTTCATGTCTGTTCGGATGACTGACACAGACCGTGCAGCACATTCCAAAACTTGTACCACGACCCTCTCCCGTCAGACACTTCGTCATCGTACAACATAGCTACCTGTGGAAGCCTCTCCGTCCTACTTGCATCGTGCCGTCTAGGAATACAAACACAGCTGGAACTAGGAACTCCCCCGATTTTCTTGTCACACGTGGGTAGGAGGGAGCGGACGATGACGAGCTCACGCAGTGACGCAATGTCCTGCTCACCGTGTCCGTCCACATGCGGCTGCTAATCAGTGATGACGACATCGTCGCCAAGGCGCTGGGTCTCCAACCGGCCTTATACACTTATACTTGAGAAATGTTTCTTTTTTGAGGGCATGTGTCGGAATGAGTCCTGACGAGGCCATGGATGAACGGGAGCACACAATCGTTGACCACACGACCATGTCCAGGACGCCCAGACAGTGGATATTCACCGTCGTGTCTTTGCGCGACTCTGTTGAGAAGAGACACGGCAAGTTGGACCACGCAGGGCTGGCTTCTTGGATCAAAGAGAACGTGAACTTGGCCGTCGGCCAGATGGACGACGGTATCACGACCACCTTCGTGAAGAGCTGTGTGGAGCTCTACGATGCCTTTTACGTGGACCACCCGGTCCTGGGCGAGATCGTGAACGCCCACGAGGAGGAGTTTGGATTGAACGTCGCACTGGACTCTGTGCCGAAGATGTATTTGGTCGTCAGCAAGTGCCGCACAGCCCAGAACATGGAGTGGTGCTTGCGCGCCGTGACCGATGCCGTGAAGGCACAGCTGTACAAGCCAGGGCAGTTTAGCCATGCCTCGCTGAAAGGAGAGACGGGCTCCAAGGGTTTTTTGGACTTGTGGCTTGCGAAGCTGCAATTGAAGAAATACTTCCTGGGCGAGTTCCTTGATAAAGACTTCGGAAACGGCAGCTCACACATCAAGGAGGCGTTTCGCGACGTCTACGCCGGCTTTCAGGAGTACCGTTCTTTTGTTGGCTTCGGGGAATCCCAGGACCGGTCATGGCAGCAGACGTGGCCCGCGTCTGCTACAATGGCTGCACGTCTGATCGAGGACGTCCTCTATGGAAAGCAGCATGATGCCACGCTCAAGTACTTGCTGAGGAGCAAGAAGACGCCTGATGAGATCCTGGAGGCTGAGAAATTCAACGCCATTTTGGAGGACATCGACGAACAGCTCAGCCAAGAAGCGGAATCCAGGGACAAGAATGAGGGGCACGTCCCAGTTGCTGCTCGGGCCTCCCACGAGCAGGACGCGGCTGACCCCCAGGATGAGGCTGAGATGAACCGGGAGATGCTTCTGAAGCTGATTGACGAGGTCCCGGATGAAGTGGACGGCGAGCTACTGGACGAGTTCGCCTGTTTCAGGAAGCAGGCGAAGGACACGGCTCACAAGATCCTGTTGATGGTGGAGCCGAGCACGAGCGGTCAGGCTGCCACAGCCATCGCAACAGCCCTGACCAAGAGGAGCGATCAGGACAAGGATAAGCTGACCGTGTTCGTCTACAATGTCTGCTTGTCCGGCGAGGCGGTGACGAACCCCAAGGTCAGGAAGCCGCCGCTCCGGGACCACTACCGCAAGATGATCTCTGCGGCCTTGCAGGGCGTCAAGAGTGACAGCTCCATCCCCCCGGGAGTTGTGTTTATCGTGCTCAATGGTGGGAAGGAAGGTGGGATTCTTAGCTTGTAGCTTGGTGCCTGACGTGTGTTTGAAGTTGGAGCGTGCTCTTGTGACAGTAATTCCCTACGCAGGCTGCGATGCTACGATCCAGCAAGTCTTCAACAAGGACAATGCTGGCTCAGCTTCCCAGGGCTATGAGGCTGACGAGAATGCGCGCAAGAAGGCCAAGGCCGCGCCGCCTCTGCAGAAAGTGGTCCAGAAGATTGGCGTCAGCTACGCGGAGGAGTCTCTCAGTGCCAGACGGGACATCACACGAGGCTGGGCGACGCTGGACCAGGACGAGACGGTGTACTTCGTCTCGCATGCAGCGTTGGAATCCGAGAAGAGGCCGCGGGTTAAATTCCCCGGCACGACGGCGGGGAACAGAATCACTCCGGTCCCCCTTCCCGGGTACGACGAGGTTTGGAATCTCAGCTTCAAGCAGAAAAAGGAGCTCTTCGGCAGCAACAGGGTGGCAGTGGGAGGCAAAACCAAGAACGACCCGCAAAAAGCAGTGGTGAGGCCCGAGGAGGGTTTGGAGCCGTGTTTCTTCCATGAGCAGGGCGATGACTTGATGGCCGAGCTCCTGCACACCTTGGGGGGTTCTTCGCAGATCAAGATGCTAGGGGGTGATTCGAGCATTCATTTCAAATTTTTGCTAGCCGCAGGTCCATTCCCAAATGCTACACAAGGCAAGAGAGATGATATATTTGCATTCATATTCATGTTAGGATGGTCTTCGATCTGACGACCGGTGCGGGCTCGTTCGCAAAGCTGTGCTTGGAGCAGAAAATCCCCTATGCAGGCTTCGTGTTCACCGAACCGCACGGCGTTTTCTTGAGGTCCCATTTGACAGAATACTTCCTGAAAAAATTCGGTGAGGAGGGCAACTCGAACTACAAGCCCAGCTTCGCGGCCTTGATCGAGCAGCTCCAGCAGGGCGGCGAGGACGAGGGCAAGGATGACAAGGGCAAGAACAAGGCGCCCCCCAAAAAGAAGAGGTTGAGTGGCGAGAGTGGCGCCAGCAAGAAGTCTAGCAAGGGGACGCCCAAAGGGAAGGCCAAGTCCAAGGGCAAGGCGAAGGGCAAGGCGAAAGCCGGCGGCAAGAACAAGGCTAGCAAGAAGGCTGCAGGCAAGAAGCGTGGAGCCATCGCTGCAGCACTGGACGACGAGGGCGGGGAGAGCGAGAGTGCGGACAGCGGCTCGGAATCCTTGGAAGCAGACGAGTACGACGAAGAGTAGTGAGTCATTTGAGCAGTGATCAAAACAGCTGCCATAGATGATAATAGCGAATACCCTGGGTTTCGTAACCTACCGTGCTCGAATGGAAGTTGTAAGAATTTTGATCCCGCTCATTAATTTGATCTTTCAGTCCTGATGTGAGCCGTCGTCGCCGGTCGAAGCACAGGCCCGGCGGCCGTTCTGCTGCACATATATGTGATCCAATCCTGAGACTCCTGAGGGAGACACGTGGCATCGTGGTTGCTGCACATAGCATGTGATCCAATCCTGAAATTCCTGAGCAAGGAATGTCACGTGGCATCGTGTGTGCTGCACATAGAATTCGATCCGTTCCTGATATTGCTGAAGAAGCAACGTCAGGTAACATCCTGTTTGCTGCGCACAGGATGTGATCCGATCCTCCATGTCCTGAAAATGCTGTGGCATCGTGTTTAAAGGTCTGCAGGAAGACGTCCGTCCTACTTACCCGTGATGCCCCCGAAAAGAAAGAAGCTTTGCACGCAGATGATGCTGCAAGCTGTTGCAATCTGTGTGTTTCACATGAGCACGCGTTCTTTCCTATGCTGCAGGCCTCTCCAACGGCCGAGTTGTGGGCGGGGTGCGCAGCAAGCAGCAAGCTCAGAGTGTTGCTCCACCTTCCGTTCGGTTTCCGTCTGACTTTGAAGCAATCTCAGCCCTGGAAGTCTGTAGCCCCACGATGCCCCATTCCAATTGCGGATTGTATTATTAGGAAGAGGCCGGTCTCAAGTCTTCTGCTACCCATCTCCTACACACAGACTGCCCGCGCCAGGTTATCTGTCGCGATATTGTATGTTGTGTACCCAACTGGAAGATTATCAGTGATTCATTTTGCGTCCGTGCGATCTGTGCACCATTTGATCGCTGCTGCCCTTTGCGTCAGCTGCCCTGGAGTGATGGCAAGCTTGTGTACTACACGCGCGCCGATACCAGCATTTCATGGAACTAATGAGAAATGCATGATGCCAGGTTGAAGGATCCACTTTCGCATGCACGTATAAGGCGGTTTCCTGGGGCGCCTGCCCCCCGGCGCCTCGATGGAGGGCAGCCGGCGGCGCAGGCTGATGGGGCAAGAGGCTCTGCCGCGCAGCTCTGGGGAGGACAGCGCGCGGCGGGACGTCAAGCGCAAGCCGCGTGACAGGAGAGTGGCAGCAGGATTGCCCAGGAGTATTTCAGTGACTCCTGTCATCCGGGTGGGCTCGTGGTGCTCAGGCTTGGAGTCTTTTCTGTGGGCCTTTCGACGCCTCAACATCCCTCACCGGCATGTCTTCGCTGCAGACATTTGTCCAGTTGCGCAGGCCACATGTGAGCACATTCTTGTGTTTTCTGAAGAAGCCACAAACTCAAGAAATTATGTGTGTCTCTGCGTGTGTGTGTGTGTGTG